GATGGATGATGGATGGATGGATGATGGATGATGGATGGATGATGGATGGATGGATGGATGGATCCATGGATGGCACAGATCCATTTCCACCACCAGGCCGGATTTTTCCCATCATTTTCCCATTCCATTTTTCCCTCTCCTGCTCCCCTCCCTTTCCCCAGTGTTGCTTTAGGAATTGATTGATGGGGCTGGCAATTATTGATCACATCCCATCGGGATCATCAATAGGATTCCACCAGAGCTGTCTGTGGCCCTAAAAACTCCCGGAGAGGCTTCCCCTCCCCCTCCCCCCACCCCAGGCACGGTGCAGCTGGGGGTGACCACGGGACCTTCGGGGGACACACGGGGGGGTCTGGGCGTGTGACAAACGTCAGTGTGACAGTGCCAGAGAGACTTTGTCAGTGTCACCAGTGTCAATGTGACAATGTCAGTGTCCCCAATGTCAGTGTGACAGTGTCAGTGCCACCAATGTCATTGTCCCCAATGTCATTGTCATCCATGTCAGTGTGACAAATGTCAATGTGACCAATGTCAGTGTGACTGTGTGACAGTGTGACTGTGCCAGTGTCAGTGTCCCCAGTGTCAATGTGGCAGTGTCACTGCCAAAGGATCAGTGTCACAGAGTCAGTGTCCTCAATATCACCCTGTTGGTGTCACAATGTCAGTGTCACAGTGTGACACTGTCACCGTGTCAGTGTCACAGGCTCAGTGTCACACTGTCATGTCCCCAGTGTCACAGGCTGTGTCACAGTGTCCCCAGTGTCATGTCCCCACTGCCACCGTGTCAGTGTCACAATGTCATTGTCACAGTGTCACAGCGCCATGTCACCAGTGTCAGTGTCACAGCATCAGTGTCCCCAGTGTCACCGTGTCCGTGTCACACCTGCCATGTCCCCAGTGTCACCAGAGCAGCGCCAGCCCGCGAGTCGCTGTGCGAAGGTGACACCTGGTGGTGGCACTGCCTTGTCACAGCCAGCCCCGCTCGGCGACACTGCCCCCACCCCGCGACTGTCACCGGAGGTGACCTCCATGGGACCCCCAGTGCCACCTCCATGGGACCCCCAGTGCCACTTCCATGGGGACACCCAGTGCCACCTCCATGGGACCCCCAGTGCCACCACCTCCTGGGATATCCTGGGAAAAGCGGTTGGGATCAGGATTTTGGGGTCCCTCTGTGTCCCCACATTCCCCGGAATATGTCACTTTTGGGGACACCCTTGTGGATGAGGAATTCCAGAATTCCCGGCTCCAAATGGGAATCCCAAAGGCTGGGGTGGGGACAAGGCCAGGTGCCATCCCCGGGCCGGTGTCCCCATGTCCCCAAAATCCTGGAAATCCTGGAGAAGGGATCCCAATCCCGGCTGGTGGCTCAAGGCTGGATGGGAACAGCCTTGGGAAAGAGAAATGGGAATTTAATCCATGGAAAACATTCCTGGAGCTGGGAGTGTCCCCCCAAAAAATGGGAACTGGGAAAAAAGCAGAGCCCTGAATCCAGCTGGGATTGAGGCAGGAACACTCAAATCCTGGGAATGCAATCCATGGAAAACATTCCTGGAGCTGGAGCTGTTCCAAAAATGGGATCTGGGATAAAAGCAGAGCCCTGAATCAATTCCCTGTTTTCCCTCAGGACAATCTCGCACTCTTTTCCTGGAAAATGGAAATTCCATTTCCCTTTTTCCTGGTAGCCCTGGATTTGTGGGAATGTGGCTGGAATGAGGCTCCTCCACTCATGGAATGTGGGAATTTTATCCCTGTGGTCTCTCCTTACCCTCAGGGATTTCTCCCATCCCTAAAACCCAGAAGCAGGGACAGGTTTTACCCCATAATTCCCATTTTTCCTCCGTTCAGGATGGATTGGGAAAAGCAGGGTGGGAAGAATCGACGGAGGGAGCGGTGGCAGGGCTGGAATTTTATCCCGGAACAGCTTTATTGGGGGAGACATTAAAAAACTGGGATTTTAGTGCCTTGTTACACTGGAAAACCAACTTTCATCCCAATTCCAATCCCAATCCCAATCCCAATCCCAATCCACATCCTAAGGAATTCCCTGCTCCAGGTGGTGATGGGGGATCCCCTAGGGAATCCCACCCTTGGGATCATCTCCCCACATTTGGGGGGCCTCGGGAAGGGGATCTGCCAGCACAGATCCCAAATCCCATCCCCCAATTCTATTTTGGGATCAACCAGGATGGGATTTAAGAAGCAAACATCATTCCCAAGAAACCTCAAAGCCTGGAAGGGGAGATCTCAGCAGCGATTTGGGGTCACTCCAGAAGCGCAGTCCAAGAATAAATTTGGGATTGACCAAGAAGATAAAATTCCAAGTGGAAATGTGGGATGAGGCCAGGATGAGGCCCATCAGCAGGGGGGTGGATCCGGTGTCACTGTCACCACCACGGTGTCCTCGTCGCTGTCATCTGAGCTGCAGATGATGATGCTGCAGCCCTCTGCAAGGAAAATCCCAAAGTTCCACATCCCACGGGATCAAAGATCCTGGGTGTCACACCAGGAACCAGCCAGAGCTTGGGGGAAAGCCCTGGAATGGTGGTGACTCCATGGATCCTTCATCCCATGGATCCCTCACCCCATGGATCCCAAATTCCATAGATCCCCATGGGTCCTGAATTCCATGGATCCTTCATCCCATGGATTCTTCAACCCATGGATCCTGAATTCCATAGATCCCTCACCCCACTGATCTTTCATCCCATGGATCCCTCATCCCATGGATCCTCACCCAATGGATCCTGAATTCCATGGATCTTCACGCCATGGATCCTTCATCCCATGGATCCTTCACCCCACGGATCCCGAATTCCATAGATCCCCATGAATCCTCACCCCATGGATCCCTCACCCCATGTATCTTCACCTCATGGATCCACCATCCCATGGATCCTTCATTCCACGGATCCCTCACCCCATGGATCCTCACCCCACGGATCCCTCATCCGATGGATACCTCACCCCGTGGATCCTGAATTTCATGGGTCCCTCACTCCATGGATCCCTCACCCCATGGATCCTTCATCCCACAGATCCCTCACCCCATGGATCAATCCCTCATCCCATGGATCAATCCCTCACCCCATGGATCAATCCCTCATCCCATGGATCAATCCCTCACCCCACGGATCCCTCACCCCATGGATCAATCCCTCACCTCATGGATCCCTCACTCCATGGATCCCTCACCCCATGGATCTGCAGCATCCTTGGCCATGATTCCCGTGGAATGAGGGTGCAGAAAGGCTGGGAAATATCCCACAGGATGGGGAAAAATGGGATAAGAAGAAGGACGGTGACATTCCCGGTCCCCACCTGCGTCACCGCTGCGGACGCAGTTGTGCCGTGATGTGGAGGGGCCGGGCTCTGTCTGGAATTCCCAGTGGGATTCAGGACGGCTGGGGCCTGCCTCGTGGTCACATTCCAGCTTCAGGATTTTGGGAGACATCTGGCTGCCCCTCTCCACGCAGAGAAGAGGCCGCTTGTTCCAGGAGGAGCATGGGAGAGGCTGGAAAAGCAGGATCGGGATTGGGATTGGGATTGGGATTGGGATTGGGATTGGGATTGGGATGGGAATGCCCGGATCCCAGCAGATCCCAGGTGGGTGGGATGAGCCTCACCTGGTCCATGGGGATCTCCTCGAGGCTGGAGACACGCTGGATTTTGGGATGGATGGAATCCTCTTCCTGTGGGAAAAGCGTGGATTTGGATCCCAGAGGGGGGGGGCAGGGATACCCTCGGGAATGGGGAAACTGAGGCACGGAGGATTTGGGATGGGGCTGGGTGCTGCTCCCTTGGTCAGGGAATTCCCGGTGGAAAATGAGGGGACGGGGCAGGACCGTGCCTGGTGCAATGTGGGGATTCACGGGTGAGGAAAAACCGGGAATATCGGGATGGGGAGGGAAAGGAGAGGGCCGGGTTTGGGGTGGGGCAGGAGCACCCCGATGTCTCACCAGGTTGTCCTCCAGGGCCACCTCGACCTCGGGGACATCTGTACCAGGGATGGAGAAAACCGGGATGAGATCCCGGAGCCTCCGGAGCTGGGAAAACCCCGCCCGGCTGCTCCAGGCCCCTCCCCTCTGGATTGGGATGGCCCAGGAGGTTCGGGAAGCTTCGGGAATGAGCATTCACAAAGCCTGTCCCCGAAAGGGGCTCCACAAAAACAATGGAGAAAATCCCATGAGGATGAGGAGGAGGAGGAGAAGAAGAAAAAGAAGAAAAGAAGGAAAAGAAGGAAAAGAAGAAAAAGAAGGAAAAGAAGAAAAAGAAGAAAAAGAAGAAAAAGAAGAAAAAGAAGAAAAAGAAGAAAAAGAAGAAAAAGAAGAAAAAGAAGAAAAAGAAGAAAAAGAAGAAAAAAAAGAAAAAGAATAAGGAGGAGGAGGGGAAGAAGAAGGAGGAGGAGGAGGAGGAGAAGAAAAAGAAGAAAAAGGAGAAAAAGGAGGAAGAGGAGGAGGAGGAAGAGAAGGAAGAGAAGGAGAAGAACGGGAAGAATGGGAAGGAGAAAAAGAAGAAAAAGAAGAAAAGAAGAAAAAGAAGAAAAAGAAGAAAAAGAAGAAAAAAATAAGAAAAAGTAGAAAACAAGAAGAAAAAGAAGAAAAAGAAGAAGGAGGAGAGGAGGGGGATGACAATAGAAGTTCCAGATGCCCACCATCCAAAGTGTCCAAGCCCAACTGGGACATCGCTCAGCCTTTGCAACCGGCCGAGCCTTGAGCTCCCATCCCATCCCATCCCATCCCATCCCATCCCA